CACTGGTGCTTCCTCCTTGCTGGCTTCTATCCTGCTCCACAGTCTGGGTGGTGCCTGTCTGGGTCTGAGTGCCGGTTGCTGTCACACTTTCACCTTCCAGTCCCCTGGTCTGCACCTGTCCCTCTGACGCCCTGCCTCTGGCCTGGTGACTCTTGGCACCTCCCACTCTCTGGGTCTGTTCCACATGACCCCCCTCCTGTCTCTGAGACTCAGCCTGCCTGTGACGGCCACTGCCTTGAGTAGAGCTAAAGTCCTGGCCCTGGGTCCGAGTGGCCAGCCCGGCCTGCCCCCCGGAAGCTTGCTCCCGTGGTCCACGGCTGCTCCCCTCTTGCTGCTGTCCTCCTCCGGTTCTTCCTACTTCAGAGCCACTTCTCTGTCCTTCCAGCTCTTTCGAGACCCCAGGGGTGTGACTTCCAGGCTCTTGGGGTCCGCAAGCGCCCCCAGGACTCTCACTCAGGGTTTTGAAGCAGGCCTGGGCAACTTTAAACACCAAAACCAGAAATTCTTTGAATTCCACAGTTCCCGTGTTGTCTTCGTCCAGCAGACGCAGGACTTCATCCACAGTGGCTGGATCATGCGGTTTCTGGGGAGAAGAGGAGGCTAAGTTAGTGTCTTTCCCTGGGTGAAAGTGGTACCTCAGCCCACTCAATGTGCAGGTTTCCACCCCAAAACAAGCCCTCCAGCTCCGATGCCCACACTGTTCTCAGGGGGCCCAGCAGCACTCATCGGTCACAGCCATGGCATAGTCCCATCTCCCTAAGGTTGGGAAGCTCTTTTGTTTGGTATCACCAAACATCCTGTCCCACTGGAGAAATGTGCAATGGTTGCAGGAATTATAAATGATTGGGCACAGGAGAACCCTCAGGCTGTCCTTGGCACAATGGGGACACAGCTCGTTGGCAATTCTGAGGCCCAGCTGGGTTGATCAGAGCACGTGGAAGCAGCATCCTGCCAGACCCGTGCACTGCTGGCTACCAGCCCTTTATCCTGATTGCTTCAGATGCCAGCGAAAGGCAGGGAAAATCAGAAAGTGCATCAAGGCCCTGGTTTTGGTGTTTTAGGAGGGGGCTCCCCAGTGGTCCTCCAGCTGTGCTCAGATCCAAGGTGAACACTCAGCTGATACTTTTGAGAAACTGTTTTGTGCAAGGCACAGTTATGTGTCTAACAAACACTTGTTAATTGATGATAAAATTGCTGATAGTCATAGGAAATGTTGAGTGTATCGGATTTTTGAAGCAGCAAAAATTGACATTGTTTTTATTTCTGGAATATTTGAAAGTACTATTCCTCCCAGACTGCCCTTTTAGAGTCTGTTGACCTTATCTGCAAATTATAACAAGTCCAGGTATATTCTCCTAGGACCAAGCCCTGACAAGGTCCGTGGCTGGGTCTTGTTTCTTTGCCGTTCCTCTGCCTGTTCAGCTGCCTGTGTGGGGCAGTAGGCTTGGACTTGGCTACCGCCTCCTCAGACCCTTGAGGCAACGTGCTTGCTGTGGGCTGTCCTCTGCTGCCCCTCCCACCTGGCTGGGCCCATCATACCACGATGACATCAGCAAACTCTTGCTCCAGGAGCCTTTTCAGTTCTCCCCTGGTGAGAACTTTGCAGTCACCCTCTGTCCTGGCATAGCGCTCGAAGGCCTCGATGATCCCATTAATGTTGCGCAGTAACTGAGGCATCTTCAGAGTCAAGCTGAGGAAATAAAAGCCCCACAGTCAACCTCAGCTGTGTGGTTGGGAGCACTCAGCTTCCCAGTCCTCTGCTTCCCAGTCCTCCCCTTGCCTGTTCTACTCAGCTTCTTGCTTGGTCCTGCCCTATGGAGTGTATTTATGATTGGGAAGAGGGAGCACATGGTGGAGACAGCTGTCTGTGTCAGGATTTACCTGCCGACCCCTCTTCCCCGCCCCCCTGACCTGTCAGGTGAGTGAGGTCAGCTTGCTTTACCTCTCCATGCCTCAGTTTCCTCATTGTGAAATGAAGGTAATACTATTTATTTTTATAGGATTATTGTGAGATAATTTGGAGAAAACATCAGGCAGATGCTGACATATACTAAGTACTAGCTATTAACTGTCATTATTATGCTATTGTACATATAATTTGCATGCAACTATACGCTACTGCTCACAAAGCACTTTCATGGGCATCATCTCACATCATTCTTATTATCTCCACTTTGTTATAAGTGAGGAAAACATTCAGGGAACTTAGGTGATTTGCCTGAGGCCACACAGCTCATAGGGGACCAAGAAACCTTGGAATCCTGATACCAACGCACTTCTGACAGTACTCCTGCCCTGTGGGTAGCTAAGTCCTTTGCCTGTCATGGGGGTTAGGGCTCTGCTGGGACACAAACAGGCAGCAAGTATTTAGGTCAATTAACCTCTGCTGCCTCAGGTGGGGACTAAGCTGGAGCCCCAGGGGTCCCACTCTGCCTTTTCATGCTTCCTTTGAGGAGATGTTCAGGAAGAGGCTGGGCTACCAGCTGGTGGGAGTGCCAAGGAGGGGGTGTGCCCTTAGGTGGGAGGACTTCCAATTCTGAGAGTCCACGCTTTTCTGCATGTGATCCCTGTCCTTCGTCCTGGATCCTGTGAGAGCTAGCCTGCCCATAGATGTGTGTCTCCATCCAGCCCACAGCCCTGAGGAATGGTTCCCAACTGCAGGGAGAGATTTGGGCAGAGGTCAAAGTGAGTCCTGGATGTGTCTGGATGAGTAAGATAAGATGTGCAGATACATTAAGCTGAAGCCTCAGAGAAACCAGAAGGGGAATGGGTATGAGAGAGGGCAGCGTGCAAGTGCAGTAGAGAGCTGGAGCCTGCAGAAGCTGGCGAGCCTGGGGCAGGGTGGAGGTGAGGGTCGGGGCTGGGGGACTCGTGGGAGGGCAGGACTGGCATGGAGATGTGCAGGAAGGGCTCTGGGAGGTGAAGTCGTGGGTAGAAGGTAAAGGAGGGGAGGAGACCTTGGCTAAAGAAGGCAGGTGAGCCCAGAAGGATCTGGAAGTTTATAGAGCCCATGTGGGCCCTTCTGAGGGTGTCATTTCTATGACCTATTTGTCAGCAATTTCAAGCAGCCTGCTTTCTCATATATTCCTACCTACAAAACTCAGAATATTGCACCTCAACAGAAACATGGGGAGAGCCTATATAGTTTTATTTGTTTTAACCATGTAGCAGGCTTTAATCACTGAAAAACAAACAGTACAAACAGTAAGGCCTTCCAGTTACTATTCAGATCCCTTGGAATTAATTCACAAATTCCTCCCGCCTGAGTATCACCCTGGGGTGGGGGCAGTGAGCACAGTACATGTGCTCTGCCATGTAGCCCCTGTCTCCATGAGAAGGTTCCGCTCCATTGTCAGCTTGGCAGAAGTAACCTGATTTTGGTCTCTCAGACTCTGGGCTCTGCAAAGAGGCTTCCAGAACTTAAGAATGGGAGACGTTGCTGGTTCAGCTGGCACACGGGTGATTCCCTACCACAGCTGCAGGGGACAGGAAGAGCTCGTCCTTCCTTGAGCTCACTGGCTCCCGCTTTGCCTGAGGCCCAAACCCAGCAGACACTGTCTGCCCAGAGCCAACACTGACAGTGCTGGTTTTATGAGCTCAGAACACCAAGACACTGGCAGTGAGAAAGAGATCCCTCAGGAGGGGACTTACCTAATGCAGAGGCAGAATGAAGCAAGAGGCCGTAAGCGGTCTGAGGAGTACCCGGTCAGTAGGATGGCAACCTTTTATAGGGGACTCGATCAAGGCTACAGCTTTTAGGCACACTGTCCCGCCCTGAGGAAAGGCTCCATTCAGCCTCCGCCCAGCCCCGCCCCACCTCCCTTCTTGCCAGCTTTGCCTGCTGACCCGTGTCTAATTAGCAGGCCCCTCCTGCCACACTTGCTGCCCTCTCTCCCGCTGCCATCTGATAGGCAGGCTCCTTTCCTGTGTCCACCACAGCCTGCTGAACATGCTTGGTCTCCATGTGACGACGAAGCCAGGGGACTGCTTTCGGTGCACACCCTCAGGGCCCACTGAGGGTGACCCTTTCGATGTGGTCACTTGGGGAGGCCAGCCAGGCTTTTCTGGCGATGTTGCCATTGCCTAGAACATTTTTGGATTTTTCATTTAGAAAATGTTTTTCATGCCAAGTTTATGAGACATGCAAGAAATCCGACCTCGTTTCTTTAGGTTGGATCTTGTTTTTGGCTAAAACATATTTAACAGCTCTCTTCCCCACCCCATGGTGCAGGTGGGTGGCGCTTCACAGCTGATGGGAGGAGAGGCTGACTATGAGCATTGCTGCCCTTCCTTGCACAGGGGGGAGTTCAACCAGACTACTGGTCAGGAAATATTTGTGGAGCTATTTCAGAAATTGATATTTCTGTCCATTTCAGATGGGGCTAAAGCCTCAGGGATGAGCTTTCACAGAGTGTGCAGCCTGGAAGTCACAGGAGAGTCTCAGAGGTTAGCAGTGATGGCAACTCCTGTCTGACGTGATTACCCTTTCATTACCATCTCATTTTGTGGGCCTTCATGACACCCTGTGGAGTGGTTCTGCCAAGCCCCTTTTTATAAACAAAGATACTAAGAACCCCTCAGAGAAGTGACCACTGAGTGAGGAAGGTGCTAACCAAAACACCCCCCCCCAGGGGTAGACAGGATGGAAACGGTGATGACAGGTGCTGTCATTTAATCTTCACTCCTGACACTTTTTCTAACATCGATGTATCCTCTATGGATGAAGACAACTACCCCCAAGGAGGCTGAGTAGGAAGCATCCCAAGTTCTGAAGCTCGGTCCCAAAGGAGCACGTCTAGGTCACACTTTAGGGAAAGCAGGTGTCGCCTCTTGAGTGGACGGGGACCAGGGACGCGGACCAGGGACGCTCACTTACACGCAGGCAGGCAGCACCCTGGAAAGGCAGCACAGGCGTGTGGAGGTCCATAGCGCCTGTGTTTGCCAGGACTGGCATCTTGAGGTCAGCTTTGCAGCTGCATCTCAGGCCCGGGGTGGGGACAGGAGCAGGAGATGCAGGCTGTGAGAGGACCTGTAGCTGACAGGTCTGTCTGCATGGGGAGGGCTGAATCCAGTCCAGGCCAGGTAGAGGGCAGACCGGTCTGCATTAGGAGAAGGCTGGTTCATACGAGAGGGGAAAGCTGGAGAACAAGAGGGGTCTGGCAGGCGAGATCTTCTGCTGTCAGTGAGATGCTATGCCTTAGGAAAGGCGCTTAAAACATCCAGGAGTATTGGGAACTAAAGAAAGAAAGTTAGGAGAACAAGCCAGGTGTTTTATGAGATAACATGAAGTAGGCATCATTACATCCAATTTACAGATGAAGAAACTGAGGTACAGAGAGGTTAAGTAAATACCCAAGATTATATACCTAGAAAGTGATAGACCTGATTTTGAACTTAGGTCTAGCTGCCTCCAGAGCCTTGGCTTTCCACTTGGTTAGGGCAAGACAGAGCCTGAATGCTGTTTGTGTGTGTGTGTGTTGTGCATTGTGAGTGGTGGGAGTAGTATTAGTGGTGTGCATGTATGTGGTGGAATGTGGTGTGTGTGTGTGCTGTGTGATGTCCAGGGGGTGAATTCTGGGGGTCTGTGGTGTGTGTGAGGCAGTGTGCTGTGTGTGGCATGAGTGGTATGCATGTGTGTGTGTGGGGGTTGTGGAGCGCTGGGTGGGGCTGAGGGAGAAGAGCAGGTGGGAGGGTTTGGACTGACGTTAATTGAGGGTGTGTACATGTGTTCATTTGGGCACAGCTGTTATTTATCAGTTACATCTTATGGGGGCAGAGGGGACCTAGGGCCCTATGAGAATGAGTTTCTGCTTTCCGGGAAATCATCGTTGGAAGAAAAGGCATGCACTCCAAAGCAATGATTTACCAAGCCTGGAAGTGTCCAATGAGGCGGCATGCTCCACTCCACTCCTGAAGTCCCAACAGTGAGAGGGGGCGTGGGCCCTGGTCCTTGGGGTGCTAAGAGGCTGGCCATTGAAGTCTCCTCCCAAAAGAAGATGGAAAAATTCCAGAATCCTAGGCTTTGCCCTTAAGAACAAAAATGGGTCTGAAAGCCAACGAGCAGGACTTGGGTCCCCATTTTCAGCCCATGAGTATAGAGAGCCTGGCTGAGGGCACTTGTGGCTGTTTCATGCTGAGTTCCACGATGACTTCCGGAGTAAGCGCGTAAGGAATTCAAGTGCAAATGAGTTAGTTCCTTTGACATATTTCTGTTTATTCAAGGTAGAGTGAGCTTAAGTGAAGAGACTGACTCAACTTCTGACAGCGTGCTGACCTTCCTCTTCCCTCCAGCATACCCCTGAGCTATCACTGCCCAGCACCTGGGTGGAGGGAGAATTTACCTGCCCACTCACAGTCCACATGCCTGGATGAAGGACAGGTTGCAGGGCATGGTTCTTAGGGGGAAGCGCCGTGGATTGTCTGGGTTTCCTGTTGCTCTCTTTGTCCCACCTGGAGCTTCTCCCAAACCTGTTCTATCTGGGCTCTGGTCAGAGCATCCAGAAGCCCAGATACTCACATCAGGCCCCAGAAATTTCAGGAAATAGGCAGCTACCAGGGACATCCTTGCAGACATTTCCTGTGTCTTAGTGGATGTCTATTAAGCATTCTTGGCCTAATCCCCAATCTGACAGGTTGTGTTGGCCCTGCTGTTTCTCTGGGTCCTGGTCCAGGCTGGG